TACCTATAATCCTTATAATTGTACTACCAATTGTCAATGGTCTAATTTTTGTCATTATTATACCAGGTTATATAATCTACCAGGTATACAAAATGATAAAATCATGTCATCGTTATCTTCAAAGAAATAATTCAGTGGCTAATAGAAATCAAGAAAAAGACTATCAGTCATTAGTTGGTAATGATGATGATTGGATTGCTGATCGTATGAAGAATCCACTAGATTATGATGAACAACATGTTTCTGGTAGAATGGATGATGCATCTGAAGAGGATCAACAACCCATTACTATTGCTTCAGCTGTTAGTTATGGCAGCATTCAGCAATGAAGTGGCTACTGTTTGAAATTAAGAATAATTTTTTGGTTTGTCTATTAGTTCTTTAATTTGTTTTGTGCAGGCTTGGATTCATTCTGTTTTTAAAAATTACTTGTCAATGTTGCAGTGATACAACTTGATTCAAATCAAATCATGAAAATTTTGGGTCAAACTAACCAAGTGTATGGTATAAGAATATGGAATAGTTGATAGCAATCTTTATTCCAGCTAAGTCTCTGTACATGGTCTCAGGTCAAATTTTGCCAAAATTGAGAAGTAGGGATTTCCCTGTTCTTATAATTTTTTCTGGTACACATGCATGTACTTATGATGTGTAAAAAGTTTGAGCTGATTCTGATCTAATTTGAATTTTTTTACAAATTTTTAAAGTGCCCTTTGCTTTTTTCAAAAATTGGCTCAATTTTAAAATGCTCATACTCAAAATGACGGAAACAACTCAAAATTTTCTAAATAGCATAAGGATACCAATATGCATTAAAACAATGCAATAAAATTTTGGGGTGATTTCAGAGTAAGTTTTTTTGAAAAAAACTATGGGTTATAGTAAGTTATTAAAAGATTTTAAAAAAAGATTGAGCAGGATTCACTTTGTGCTAATTTGTCAAAAAGGTAATGGAAACAAGGACAAGTAGGATTCGGAATGACCAACAAAAATACGAAATGAAA